CCTTTTTTATTATCTCATTAAATATCATTAATCTAATTTGCCCATTTTGCCCTTTTTTATTATCTCATTAAATGTCATTAATCTATTTTTGGAATCACATTAATTAAGATTCTTTTCAATTTTAACCATTGATATTTAAGATGTGTGGTTGAGATTGGTTCTTACAGTTAGCACAAACAACTCAGTTCTCATTTGATTAAGCCCCTATATATATATATATATATTTTTTTTTAATTTCCTAAAATAAAGTAAACTAATCTTGACCATTGATCAAGAAAATAGATGGATGAGATTGGTTTACACAGTTTACACAAATGATGACGGTTTTTATTTGAACGTTCATCTCTCTCTATATATATAATCTTGTGAGACGTACTATACATCTAATTTAAATAATGCTTTAATAAGGTTGACATTAGTTCACTTCTAAGAGAAAATAAATCAACTCTAAAACCATGAAAAACTTATATCACATCCATTTAAAATATATTAAAACAAAACTATTATCTTTTCGTCTTTTTGTTAGGTATCATTTTATCAATTATGAACGGTTGAAAAATATTAAATTTATTCACACAGAGGACTAAGGAGAGTTCATCAGGGAATCAAAAAGACTGAATACATGTTCTCATTTGTCTTCGTTCATCATGAATAATAAACATGATTTTTTTACAACATTCATGATTAATGTTACACTATTCATAATGAATATCTCATGATTATCCAGGAGATTCCAGGTTCAAATCCAATGAGAAATAAAAATTCTCTTGTGGCCACAGATGTTCAAATGCAGAGATTCCGGGCTATCTGCAAAATAGATGGTCGTCCTGGGATTAGTCGGCTCGCATAGCGGGTTGGATATCCAGGTTAATAAAAAAACCCAGTTTAACAGTCGGTTATATTTTTTTAATACGGAGCCCAATTCTTAGAATAATATATATTTATTTGTTTTCCTTTATTGATCACATACGTAAGATACAAATTATAGAGGATAGTCAAATGTTCTAAAGATAGACTTCTTCGGTTCTTCCACCTAATTAATTTTCACGTTGTGATTGAAGACTTAACGTGCAAAAATAAAATAGTCCATCACAGGGGCTAAAACTGTCAATAATTTAAACACTGAGGGTCGAATAACAACTTATTTTTTTAAAATAAAGAAGGGTAGTAAGTGTAAATAGACGATTTTGGTTTCTAGATTATGACATCACATGTGACGTCATCATGATATGATATCCTTGATACTTGTAACTAGACTCGGTTTCAAAAGTCCATATTTGGACCATTCTAGGATGCCATGAGTCACTGGTTTAGAGACCGTGAAAATCTCATCCCATCTCATTTTTCTCAAGCAATTACGACTTTAAACACATGAAAATGATGAGTTGAACCAAATTACAAGTTGAATATGCCGGGGGTCTATTTTTATTAATTTCCAAATAAATGAAATGAAGTTATGTTAACCACAAGAATGGTGTTTGATTGGTTTGAGTTTGGCTCAAAAGTTCAAAAGTACCAAGAAGTTTCAGGTTCAAATTCAAGAAGGAATAATAATCCCCTTGTGCCCATGAAGGTTCAAATGCGGTGACTTCGGATTATCTGCAAAGCAGATAGTCGTCCTGAGATTAGTCGACTCACATAGCGGGTTGGATATCCAGGTTAATCCAAAAAAAAAGTTATGTCAAGTTGGTTGTGTCGAATCAACTCGTCAACAATTCTTTAAAATTTTGGTAAGTAACTAAAACATATAAAATATAATCAGTAAAATCATCGTTACAATGATTGTTCAGTTATTCATCAGATAAGTTATCAAGAATTGTAAACATGTGTATCCTTCGTGTAAGATTTTGGGTATTTGCCATGAGACGGACCTACGTAAGCTTGAGTGCGGTCCCATGTACTAATTCAATTGATTTTTCTTAACTAGAATTTTGTTGATGCTTCAGGATATTAAATAATATAAGGAACATTAACTGAAAAACCAAAAACGTTCCTCCAAAATGTAAATCAACCAAAAAACTTAAAAGATCCCTCGAAAGAAACACAAAAGACTCAAAAAGATCATCAAAACGATGGGATTTGATTAAGAACATATCGAACAACACTGCATGCTTTTGATTCACCTTAAAAATGACGCACCCACTTGATGAAAATCTTGGGTCCAATGTTGTTTTCCATGCTCGTCTGGTAAAACAATTGACACCCGATAAACATTTACCTGAAAAGCATCTTGGTAGAAAAACCGTATGTTGTAAACATTTTCAAATGATAGACATTTTGATAATTATAAGTACGAGACTCTTCTAGATAACCCGTACAAGTCATACATTTGGAAACAAAGATGAACTTTTGAACCATCCGGCGGCCGCGGCTCCATGACTTAGCCGTTAGTTGGGTGGTCATGCTTACATTGTCCATGACGGCAAGTCGGCTAACTATTTTCACTTCCGTACAACACTTTCTCTCACTTTTACACTTTACTACCCTCACTTATTTCAACTAAATCACACTTGTACGTGTTCAAACTCCCCCCCTTTACCATTCCTACAAGCAACGTCTACGTGTCACTGTCGTCATCCACACTCTTTGGTCAAACTTACATAAGTCAACACTTGTCATCTATAAATACCCAAAGCCCTCGTTTCATTCCACCATTCAAATTGCATAAAAAACCTTACTTTTCAAGAAATCTTTCCTTTTTTGTGGTTAAAACACACGATTTTGGAAGAAGAAATCGCAACAAAAAGACACCCACTTTCTACTTTGTTAGTTTTCTTCAGAAACAATGGTGTATCTACCGATGAAGAGACCGAGAGAAGCCGAGCTAGATACAGCCATAAACAATATGGCTAACTGTTTGATGCTGCTTTCGAGAGGATGTTCAACCAACGAGCGGTATGAGAACTCACCGAGCCGAGTCTTTGAGTGTAAGACTTGTAACCGTCAGTTCCCATCTTTCCAAGCTCTAGGTGGGCATAGAGCTAGCCACAAGAAGCCTCGCCTCAATACTGATGGTGACTTGGCTCACGGGACCAACTTGATGCCGGCTAAACCCAAGGCCCATGAGTGCTCGATTTGTGGGCTGGAGTTTGCCATCGGACAAGCCTTGGGTGGACACATGAGAAGGCATAGAACCGCCGTAACAAACGAGAAAAAGTCGTCAGCTTCATCGCTGGGCTCAACTACAGCTCCGGTGGTGAAAAAAGTTAACAGCCGGAGGGTTTTTAGTTTGGATTTGAACTTAACGCCGTTAGAGAATGATTTGGAGTTTGGGTCCGGTAAGGTGGTTCCGACCACCGTTGAGTTATTTTTATGATGATGGAATTTTGATGTATTTATTGTTTTTATATATACCACACTTCTCTTTTTTCTTTTATATATATGTAAATTAATTACAAATTATAATAGATTTTAGATTATATTATTTGTTTAAACACGATGTCAGATTTTTTTTTATTAACCTGAATATCCAATCCGCTATGCGAGCCGACTAATCTGAGGACGACCATCTGCTTTGTAGATAGCTCGAAGTCACCACATCTGAACCTACTTGGATTTAAACTTGAGACCTTCTAGTACTTTTGATCTTTAGAGTCAAGCTCAAACTAATCAGATACTATGGTTGAATGTCATAATTGTTTTAAAATCCTTAGAAAGAAGCGTTCAATTACGTGGGAGATGATGGGCAATATTATTTGTTTTATTTTTAATCAAATAAATGTTTTAAATTTAATAAATTTAATTATAATAAAAAGTCAATAGTTTAAGCTGGAAATTCGGGTGAGATCATTATTAAGCCAGCTACGTCTTAATTATCTCCTTATTTGGTGCAGTTGTATGGATAGTTCAATGCTACTTTATGAAGTGTATTAATTTAATGAAACCTATTTAAAATAAATTGAAAAAAGCATATTAGTAAATAGGCTAGGTTTATAGATAGACCGAACGGATACGATGAGATCTTGTTCATGTTCGTTTGTTTAAGTTAACTGAATAAATAAACGAACTCAAACATAAATGAACAAAAATTTGGGTGTTCGTGTTCGTCATGTAAAAAGTAGGCGTGTTCGTGTTCGTTCGTTAAAATGATAAATGAACGTAAACGAACGAACATAAACGAACAGACTTAAACGAACATAAATAAGGTAATGAACTAAGTTTAAATAAAATCCCACGTTGGATTAGCCCAAAAATGTCAACTCTTTATAGGTCAAGTTTTAAGATTTAAAATTTCCTTATATGTAAATAAAAGTTTATATAAATATATTTTTATATTAAACGAACATAAATAAACGAACGCAAACGAACATAAATAAACGAATGCAAACGAACATAAATGAGCGAACATTCATGAATGTAAACGAACATAAATGAACAAATGTTCACGAACGAACAAGACCTTTGTTCATGTTCGTTTATCTAAACAAATAAAAAAAACCTATTCATCTTCATTCATTTATTAAATAAACGAAAATATACAAACTTTTTACTGAACGGTTCACAAACAGTTTACTAAATGTTCGGTTCATTTACAGGACTATATATAGTTATGCATGCATCATGTCCCGAATTTATGATTGCTATATAATTGAATTTACTTTTAGAAAATAATTTTCCATATAAAAAAACATTTTTAGTTTTTTTTGGGTGAAAAGTTTTTTGTCTGTGTTCTCTTGTGTGCGAAACAAACAGGTTTGTAACAGGAAGAAAAAAATGATTTTGTGATTTCTACTTGAAATTGTTAGTGTGTTAATTCATCCTCATATCATCTTCATCTACATAAACACATAAGGTGAGTTTAGTTTTTATAAACTTTTCTTATTTGAGAATTGGGTATAGAACCGTATGGCTCTTTATATGAGTTGCTCTTATAAAACCATTTTGAGGCCATAATTGGCAAAATTGTGGAACTTTGATATGTTTATATCATGTGTTGGAATAAGGGTGACATATCAAATAGATGTGTATTTTTTGTTATAAGGGTGACATATCAAGGAGAGATGTATACTGGAATAAGGGTGACATATTAAGGAGAGATGTATATCAAAATAAGGGTGACAAAATCATGAGTTATAAAATCTGGGTTTTGATCACACATTTATTGTTATCGCATCCTTATGATGCGATGATTTGGGGTTGTCCCATCTGTAGGATGCAATGACTTAAAGTTATCACATTCTATTGATGCGATAAGAAGTGGTTAATCGCACCTATATGATGCAATACGACAAGTTGTTTTAACGCATCCTATTGAGGCGACAAGACTGGTTTATCGCACCAGTGTGATGTGATGAGTTGAGATTCTCGCACCAGTATGTTGCGAGGAGATGAGTTTGTCTAACCCTAATTTTGTGTTTCAAAAATGTGCATTACAGATCGGGTTCAACCAGATAACAAAGGGAAGGGGAAATTGTGAAGTGTTGTATATATGCTTGCATGAGTTATGGGGCTAACATGTCATTCTTTTGTATATGAATACTTGTTATGTATTCATGTGTAGTATAGAGATTTTGTGAAAAAAGTTGTTAGCTATTTTGTAATATAGCTTTTGTAAGAGATTGAGACTGAATGTGTAAATTATATTTCTTGATACATGAAAATATATGTTTATATGCAAATGTGATCTTAGGGTGTTACATCTTGAATGAAAAAAAAAATGAATATTCAATTCAATAGACTATTAAACTTTTATTTTGAATTAGTATCTAAATATTTTTTTAATAAATAAATCATTAAACTGTTAAAATTGATTCAAAGCATATTTTTTTTATCCAAAGAATTAGCTGTAATCAGCTAAAAATTTGTAAAGTGAAAAAAGAAAGTTAAATCAGTTTAACTATTTTGAAACCTTACATCATTCAAACCTATGGCACTCAATGTCATGCTAACCCTCGCCGCCCCATCATTATTGATTCTCTATCACTACCCAACAACCATCATGGTTGTTGGCATTTGTCATCGATCTCCCTTTTTTGATCGTTCTTTCTGTCTTTCGATTCTCCATCTTTTTTGATCTAGCTGTACATACTCCATTGATTGTTGTAAAACAAGGACAATCGGTAGACAAAACAAATCAAAAAGAGGGATATCGATGGTAGACGAACAACGATCATGTGCGATATGAAGAACATACGCTGATGAGGCAACAAGAGGTGGCGAAGGGGGCAATTGCAAGAGTCTGAATGTCATAGGGCTTGGGAACGATAAAACTGATATTATGTTTTTTTTTACTTTAAGATCTTCATAGGATTTGAATCTCATGCTGTTGTTTTACGTTTTGTGTAACGTCTTTGTTAAGGGTTAGAATTGCAACGAACATGGAAGTTTAACATGCGTTTTTATTTTGTTGGTATGTCAAATGTTGAATCGTTACCATCAACTCTAGATGTAGCCTAGGGTTCAGATTTGACTTTTCTTCGACTAAGCTTTTGCGATACATGCTTGTCATGAATTGAATTTCAAGGTTGTAAGCCTCAATTATTCGGTCCATGCTAACAAACCAATAATTCAAAAATATAAATAATCACATATGATTAACAAAAATATCTACGATTATCACATATGATTATCAAAAATATCTACAGTTATCACGTATGAATTGATCGTAGATATCACATGTGACATTTGATAAAAATTGTGAAATTATTTTATAAAAAGTGTATCTGATTTTTTTATAAAAGTTGATAAAAACAATTATTAATTATTTAAAATTTAAAAATGGATAACTCTAGTAGATATAATTAGATTTTTAATGATTTATACAATTCAAAATGATAATTATCCCAATTTCTGATTTTTTATTTTTATTTTTATTTATTGTATTTTTTAATTAATAGATTTTGTGATGCATTTCTTTTTCGTCTTCTCGTAAATTGATCGTCTTCTCGTAAATTGATCATCTTCTCGTTTGAATCTGCCCTTAACGATATTAGTATCCAACAGTTAATTAATTAATTAGTAAACTACAAATTTGGTCTATGTGGTTTGTCAAAAATAACATTTTTTGTTCCTATAATTTCAAATTAGAAGATGACCATTACAGTTTGTCAAAACTTTCGGATCTGGTACCTCTCTTTAGCTAATCATCTAATGGCCGTAAAAAGTCTCGTTAAATAAGAGGCATTTTTGTTGTTTTATCGATTTTTTTGTCTTTTACCTAATCAAAATATATTTTATGATTTTGGTCTATGTGGTTTTTGATTGGGTAAAAAACAAAAAATCGATAAGAGAGCAAAAATGCCTCTTATTTAACGAAATTTTTTAACGACCGTTACGGTGAGGGATCAAATTCGGATGTTTTTACAAACAATGATAGTCATCTTGTAATTTCAAAAGTATAAGGACGAAAAAGTTATTTTCGACAAACCAAAGGGACAAAGTTTGTAGTTAACTCAGTAATTTATATACTTTTGATAAGGTATGGTTATTAAGACATTGTTTGACAAATATAAGCTGCTTTATTTTTTTTAAATACATGTTTGGATGAATATAAACTAACATATTGAAATAGTATTTGGAATAGTGTTTTAAGAGTTTATTGTCGTTTTTCCAGTTATTACCCTTATTAATAGTAATCATTATTTAGTACTATTAATTATAAATACATATTAGTTATTACTAATATTAATTAATTGTAATTAACATTAGTTGAAAATTATTAATTAATT